AAAAGAATTTTTTAGAACTTAAACCATAAAAGTATAAAAAAGAATACCATAAATTGAACTTCGGTGTTCTCCAGAGCTTCCATTAGTAACAGATTTATTAACTACCTATGGGGAAGATTACTTCTGTAGATTGTAAATTCATCCATATGAACTTATTGGTAGAGAAAATGTTCTTGACTCCAGGGAATCTTTGGGATCTTTAGGTGACTGTAACTTTACTTCTGATTTTTGTACTTAGATTCTTTGCATGCAGTTTACTTGTGCTGGCATAATATTTTTATGTGATAACAATCAGTTTATAATGTTAGCAGGGGAAAAAAACATCAAATTCTCAAGTATTTTTAATCATAAATGTAATATCCCCTTTGAAAATAGTTAAACAATACAACATTTATAAAGCAAACAAATGAAAGCTTTTCTTCTCATCATAGCCACCACTTCTTTCCCCATCCTATCCCCCATTTTATTAGTGTCTTCTTAGGAAAATTTGTACATGCATATGCGCATGGTCGCATATAGACACATATGTTTCTATGCATATATAAAATCCATTGCCATCAAGTTGATTCCAACTCATAGTGACCCTGTAGGACAGGGTAGAACCGCCCCATAGGGTTTCCAAGGCTGTAATCTTTACTGAAGCAGACTACCACATCTTTCTCCTGTGGAGCAGCTGGTGGGTTTGAACCACTGACCTTTCAGTTAGCAGCCGAGCACTTAACCACTGCATTACCAAGGCCCCAATATACATACATAGGCACACAAATTCAGTTTTTCTTAACCAAAATAGGATCACACTAAAAGATAATATGCTGCAATTTGTGTGTTTTGACAACGTATCATTAACATCTTCTTATGTATTGACATTGAACTTCAAACAATAGAAAAGACTCAGCCTTTAGTTCAGGGGCACCTCTTCAGGGACAGCATCTAATGCCAATAATTTTACGGAAAACTTAAAAAATTGCATTTTGTTTTTGTGTCCTCTCATAATAAGCTTATCTGATGATTTATATTTTTCATGTATGTCAGGAAGAACGATTGTTGGGACACCTGATGAAGAAACCATGGATATAATATCTCAAAAAAACCCTCTCAAATAGTGGGAGTCGTGTTTAATGATACTTTCTCATATCAGCCGAAGTTTAATTGGGGATATAGAATTCCAATTATAAAGGAACACTCTGAATACTCAGGTAACTACATGCAAGTTTATTCCAATCTTTGTTGCTACTTCATCAAATCCCCCAGGTGGGAATGAGTGGGAGGAAAATTAATAAAACCAAGTAAAGAAGAAATATACATTTTTTTCCTGAACTTAATGATCAGTCTTTACTACAAGATGAATCTCATTATTTTGACAGCCATTCAATTAAATACTTCTTTCTTTTAGTTTTGCAGAGTGCTTTTAAAATGATCTAGATTGTGTAATCATGGACTCTGAGCTGACGTTTAGATATTTTACTTTACAGCCAAAGATAAGATTTTGAGTCCAGTATCTGACTCTACTGCATAATAATGGGCATATTTTTCTTCTTCCTTAAAGAACACTGTTGGGCTACATATGATGAAATTTTTTGTTACTTGACAACATACTGGACAAATAGGTTTGTGACTTTTCAAACTGCAATTAATGCTGCAATTATAGAAGTAAGTGCCTAGCTTCAAAGATATACTTTAAATCTTTACTTAGTCTCTCCCTTTCAACCTCTACCTCATCCCCCACCTTTCCCCTACACTCTCAGGAGATGATACTTTGCCTCCCATTTCTCAGACAAAATATAAGCCTTCAAATGAGAATATCCCCCAAATTCCCAATGCTAACTTTGTAAAGTTACAGACCTACCGCCCGCTTCACCCATTCTTTTCCTTCTCCTGCCTCATCCCTAAGGTCCTTCCTTACTTAATTCATAGACTGGAACCCATCCTTTCCAACCTTATCAGGAAATATAACAGTATGGATTTTCCTTCTGTCTCCTCTTTATTCAACTTCCTTCTTTCTACTAGATTCTTCCCTTCAAGATTTAAAATTAATAATTTTCTCCCATATTATCAAAACTTTCCTTTCCACACTTCCTCTTCAACTATCCACCGCCCTTCCCTTAAAGCTTCACTTCTTGAAAGAGTTGACTTTGCTTAGCCTCAATTCAACACAGTATGATTTCTATACCAACCACCGTACCAAACAACCTGTGTCAACTAACAATTGACATTTTTCATTCCTCATCATCTTACTTGATCTTTCAACTAAATAACATAGCATTTAGCTGTTTTTCCTTCTACGTTCCTAGCCATTCCTTCTCATCACTTTGTCAGCTCATCTACCTTTACCCTCTTACTTCTTTAAACCCTGTAGTTCCACAAGGTTCTCTTCCCATCCTGTATACTTTCTCATTCATTTCTATAACTTTGGTTATAATTCTATATGCTGATAATTCCAGGAAACCTTCTTCAAGTTCTAGACTAACAAACTTTTTCTGTAAAGGGCCAGATAACAAATATTTTAGTCTTCAGGAGCCATGTAGTTTGTCACAGCCACTAAATTCTGCTGTTGTATTGCAAAGGCATCCATAGACAATACATAAATTAGTGTGGCCATGTTCTAGTAAAACTATTTACCACAAGTTGCTGGCCAAATTTGGTCAGTGGACCATAGTTTGCTGACCTCTACTCTGTTTACTGGATATCTGATGTCTCATAAGTAATTCAAACTTAGTATGTTCAAAACTGAATGTTTTTCTCTAAATGTGACTTATTTTTTTTTTTCTTCATTTTCCTGATCTCAGTTAATGCCAAAGCCACCCACCTAGTTGCTAAAGTGTAAGCTGGAGAGTTATCAGGGGTAAGTCTCCCCGCCTCACTCATTGTGTCCAATCTCTCATCCAATCCTGTTGATTCTAAACTCAGATCTATATACTTCTCTTCAAGTCTGCTACCAGCACTAGTCCAACCATCATCATCTCTTGCCTAAATTATGGGAGTAGTTTATTCTCCTGCCTTATCTGTATTCTCCTTATATATTAATTTTTGCTATGCTGACCTCCTTTCCATGCCTCCAATATGCCATGCTCTTTCTTTCCTCTGCACATGCTGTCCTTTCTGCCTAGAATTTTCTTCTCCATCTCTGACCCTCCCCACAACACTCTTTTTTTAGGTAAGATCACATTCTTTAGCTCTCAATATAAATGTCACTTCCTTAGGGAACACATCCCTGCTCTTGTTCTCATGGCACCTTCTACTTCTTTAAAGCAGTTGCTGCATTGTACAATGAGTTGTTTAATGTCTCTCCTGCTTTCTGCTGCTCCACCACAAAATATAAAGTTCTGTGAGGGCAAGGAGTGTTTCTGTCATGATCACTGTTTCCCCATCACTTAACCCAGTGGATTGTGCATTATAAGTGCTTAGTAATTTCTCAAATGATTCCAATAACTAATAAAAGTTAATACCTAAAACCATCAAGATAGTTGTGATGATAGTAATAGCTCACCATATTTTAAAATGATGGGAATATGTAAACACTAAAAGTGAAAAGAAACAAAAGGTGTGTTGTTTTTTCATATGTTCGAATCTACCAGGCGCTCTTTGGAAACCCTGTGGGGCAGTTCTCCTCTGTCCTTATCAGGTCGCTATGAGTCGGAATTGACTCGATGGCAATGGTTTGGCTGGGTCCTGTAGTTAACATAATACGTTTGTTAACATTCTATTTTAGGTCACAACAAATCACTCTGTGATGGAGAAGCTAACATCAGTTATTAGAATAAATATGAGGATACTACCTTTCATTACTATGAGAGGAAATATATATGAATTGTTTGTTTTTATATGTGTAATTTCTTTCTCCCTTTTTGTATACTTTACATCATTAAATGTTACAAGGGAAAGGAAAAAACTAAAGAAACTGATGACAGTGATGGGTCTCCGAGAGTCAGCCTTCTGGTAAGTGAGGTTGCTACTTTACCTTGTACATCAGAAATTAACAAATAGGGAAACTCATTAGAAAAAACTGGAGACACTAACTGGTTTTTCTTACATGCATTCAATTTTATGGGCTTTCCTTTTTAGATTGTAAGATGCTGGCAATGGAAAGTAAACAAGCCTTTGCTGAGTTGAAGAAAAAATATGATTCTGTTATCAGTTAGCTTTTGCCAGAATAATGCTACATAACAAACCACCCCAAAGCCCAGTGGCTTAAAACAACAACCAGTTTTTCCTTCTCATTTGTCGGTGGCATGGCTGGAATTCGGAAGATCTGAAGTTAGTTGAGGGTAAACTCGTTGCCGTCCAGCCAATTCCGACTCATGGCGACCCTACAGGACAGAGTAGAACTGCCCCGTAGGGTTTCCCAGGCTGTAATCTTTACAGAACCCAACTGCTACATCTTTCTCCCATGGAGCAGCTAGTGAATTTGAACCACCAACCTTTTGGTTAACAGCTGAACAGTTAACCACTGCACCACCAGAGCTTCTTCTACCTTCTGTATCACATGCTGGAAAGTTTCTGGCAAGCTTTTATATACATTACCTCATTTAATTCTCAGAACAACCGTATGAGATAGCAACCATTAGTAAACCCATTTTATAGATAAGCATAGTGTGGGAAAGGATAAGTAATTTGCACATGTGCTAGAATTTTCAGGGCCACAATTTTATAATAAATTTGACCATACTATGTTTCACTTTAGAGCTTGTACTCTTAGCCACTCCGCATATTACCTCTCTAAACATTTACTTGTGCAGGACAAGTTGAATTAACAGCTGGTTTCTAACTTAGGCTATCCTGAGGATTGATGTATGCTGGCTTCATCTTTATTATGTCTACTTTTATGGCTCTGGTCATAACATATGTCCAAATTATAGTTATTACTGGCTTCTTGGTGATTTTCACACTCTATCTTATATGGCCTATCTTTGGTATGTCGGTAAACCATATGCTTTTTAACTTGTTTCAGGCGTCAGATACATGAGCAAATAATGTTTCTTCAGAATATTGCTGTAGTCACTGATTTTCTATCTTGTTTTACATATTTTTTGTGTAAGTTTTTGATGGTGTGAGAAATTAATCATGCTATTCATGATTTTCAAAGGAAACAGGGTACTAGTTGGAACACTTCTTCCTTCCTTCAGATAGCACTGGCTTTCCTCTTGAGCGTGTTAATAAAAAAGCCTATCCTCACCGGCTTAGCTGGGTTTCTCTTTACCATCTTCTGGGGATGTCTGGGATACACTGCATTGTACAGACAGCTTCCTTCATCTGTGGAGTGGGTTTTAGGGCTTTTTAGCCCTTCTTCTTTCACTGCTGGATTGTCCCAGGTAAGAACACCTTCTTTTTTTTTAAATCTGTTCCATTTTAAAACATCTTTTTATTGAAGAGTTTGATGCTTCATGAAACTTAATGATCAATCACACTATATTTTAAGAAATTCTACTGTTTAAAAGAATTAAACAAAGAGATTTTCTGATCAAAGTAATAAACAGAGCAGATAGATCATTTATAAAATCCTAGAAAATTAAAGAAGGAAAATAACCACCCATTATCTCACCACTGAGACATATCTGATTTGTATCCTCATTTACGGAGGCGGTATATAGTACAGACTCTCAACGAGATGGATTAACACAGTGGCTGCAACAATGGAATCAAACATAACAACAGTGGTGAAGATGGCACAGGACCAGGCAGTGATTCGTTCTGTTGTACATAGAGTCACTATGAGTCGGAACCGACTCGACAGCACCTCACAACAATAACAACATAGTGCAGAGGTTACAGGGAATGACATGGGCCAGAGATTGTGGGTCAGTATCACAACTCTGCCACTTACCAGATGTGTGATTGTGGGCAAGTCACTTGACCTCTGGGGCATCATTTTCTTCACCAGTAGAATAGGGATGTCAGTGGAATCAACCTACTAGCATAATCATGAGGATTAACTGGGTTATTATATACATATAGTACTGGAATAGCACCTGACTCATGCTATGTGTTAGCGATTGTCTTTTCTACATTATCTTTAAAAATAACTTCTTCAAATCTTTACGATTTGTTGAATATTTTAATGTATCTGCAATATCTTATACTTAAGATTTTTATGTTTCCTGTAGATGGTATCCAATTGGATTGCTCACACTGAGTCTTCCCCCCCACCCCAGACTATTTTATTTTTGTTTGGTTTGGTTGATTCTCCAATTCTCCATCTTTAAAATCTCTGTGATAATCAGTTAGTCAGTTAAATTTGTATTCTTCAACTGTTTTGTTTTCTCTTATAGCATTTTCCAATTTTATGATTATAATGGCAACACTGCTATTAATACCTCCACTATGCTTTTTTTGAAGAAAGAGATATTAAAATATAAATCATGCTTGTCTGGGAAACACCTTTTTAACAATTTTGGTTTTATAGGTTCATCTAACTTTTATTTTATATATTTATTTTTAGTAATATTTTATTGTGTTCTTGGTGAAGGTTTGAATTCAACAATTTCTACATAAATTGTTCAGTGACATTGGTTACATTCTTTACAATGCATGAACATTGTCATTATTTCTGTTCTGGTTGTTCCATTTCCATTAATCTAGTTTCCCTGTCCCCTAACGTTCTCATCTTTGTTTTAAAGTAGTTGTTGACAATTTGGCCTCATATAGGTGATTTTTTTAAAGGAGCACAGTAGTTATGGGTAATATTTGTTATTTTGTAAGGCATCTATTATTTAGCTACGACTTTTATTTTGTTTTGTTCTTTTAAATCTCAGATTACACACCTGGGTTATTACTTGAGTGGTATTATTTTCCCTGATCCCTCTGGAGACTGATACATAATGATAGCCACTTTCTTTATTTTGGCATTTGATACTCTTCTCTATTTGACATTAGCATTGTATTTCGAGTGAATTTTGCCTGGTAAGTAATAGTGTGGTTAAAATTTAATTTAATATGACTCTGTTTCTTGTAAGGTAATATGTTAGTATTTCTTTTACAAGTAATTTAAGAGGCATTTCTGATTGCACAGGAAAGAAAAGAAATTCAAAACCGTTCACTGAATTTCCTTGTTTTAATCTCATAATTTAATGATCTGAATGAAATTCTTTTAAAACACCTTAATTTGAAAGAACTTGCATTTATTTTGGTTTTTATCTTTTATAATGATAATATTTGTGCGTGTGTGTGTGCGTTCATGTGCATGCATGTATGTTTACGTTTTAGTTGGAGAGAGGGAAGGAAACACCTAAAACATCTCTTCAATAATGCTTTTTAGTGCTTAATATAATTTCCTATGGCTACAATTCTGCCCCACTTTGATAGCACTTTTATTTTTATGAACCACAGCTGAGAACGTATCAAAGGCCAAAACGCTGTCTTAACTTTAATTTTCCTGTAATTCTTTGTTTAGAACATTATAAACATAAATGTCTAAAGTAATAACTTACATTCAAAACTGATATAAGCCGCATTAAGGGATGCAGTGCTTTGCCCATGTGGTGTGACTGATGCAATGTGTCTAAATTGGTTAATTAGATGAAGATGGACACCGCCAGTCACCACTGTTTTTCCTGAAGTCTTCGTTTTGGTCCCAACATCAAAATCCTCATCAGGAAGTCTATGAGAATGAAATAAATCCTGAGTGTACTCTGATGACTCTTTTGAACCAGTGTCTCCAGAGTTCCATGGAAAAGAATCCATCAGGTAATTCACGAATTATGCGATTATATATGTTTGTAGTTAAAACTTAATAAACTGAGCTGCAACAGGACCAGCCACAGATCAAATATTGTGTTTTTGAAAGTCTCTTTCAGCTGTTCCTCTGCCATCATCCTAAATATCTCTCGTTTGGTATTTTAAAAGTAAATGCTGTTGATGTTGTCAACAGTAAAATTCAGTAGTCCCATTCATTTTGTTGCCCTTTTTCCTCTGTCTGTCTTTTGCTACCATCCCCCAACATCTATACTCACCTTTTCTACTATATACATACATATAGGCATATACATATGTATGCATATATACATTTTATGCATGTGTGTGTATATATATGATATATAGAATTTACACACTCATTTTTTCAAACTCAGACCATCTCCCTTACTTAGGGAGTATATGGCATGTAATTTTGAAGTCAAAAACCTTCTCCATGATGGAATGGCTTTATGATTTGTGCTAAACTATACGAGATCTTTAAGCCTCATTTTCTTCATTTCTAAGAAGAGATGCAGTGCCTGTCTTCTTGACTAATTTAAACAGTCAATGAGATAATTAAGTAATTATTTACTGTTACATAGTAAGCTGGTGGGTTCGAACCACCAACCTTTTGGTTAGCAACTGGCGCTTTAACCACTGTGCCACCAAGGCTCCTTAGCTTGATAAGAAAAAAAGCAAAACAAAACCAAAGCCTTTGCTGTCGAGTCAGTTCCGACTCACAGCTTGATAAGAGTCTGTGTAAGTATCTTTTGGGGGTGGAGTAGGCCCTAGCTCCTGTCCTTCTTGGTTCCCATTTAGAGGGTGATACCCTATGTTACTTCATAACTGTGGCAGTTAACATAATCTATGTTATTAGGAAATGGACTTACCTGAATTTGCTTTATCTTCTTTCAGAATCAGAAATGTTAAAAAGGAATATAATGGAAAATCGGGAAAAGTAGAAGCACTCCAAGGTAAAGAGAAAAACATTATTTCAATGAAGTTTTTAATTAGAAATTTTTTTTTGTTACTAGAAAATAAAAATAATCATAGTAGAAAATTAGAGAATGAATATAGATAAAAGGAAAAAGAATTAAAAACATGTTTTCACTGAGAGATAGTAGCCGATAATATTTTTTCTTCATATGGGTGTTTTAATGGGATTGCACTATTCGTACTTGTTCGTAATCTTCAACCTGAATTTGTTAAACTGAGCTTGAAGCATCATTGGAATTGTTTTTATTTGCATAGAACATTTCATCATCTGTTTTGGGCTGTGGTTTGCCTTACTTTTCGTTCTATAAGGGACACATTAAAATACGAATGAAGTGAAATATCGGGGTACATTTTACTCTTCCATTTTTAAAAGACCCATTGTATGTTGGATATAGTCCAAAGTCTAATTTTCACATTTTACTCTAAAGCAGGCATATTTCTTGACATATATGAAGGACAGGTCACTGCAATACTTGGACACAGTGGAGCTGGTAAATCAACACTGCTAAACATTCTAAATGGGTTGTCTGTTTCTACAGAAGGTGAGAAAATAATTTTGCAAAGCAAGTTGGCAGAGTAAGCAGGTGGTAAATTGAAGTCTTTTCCCTTTGATTATGTAAAAGAAAAGTCTTACTCTAAAGCAAGCTTTTACGTCGTTGGTTCCTTTAGAACAGAACCTATTTATTTCTCATTTACATAATTTCATGAGAAGGGTTGTATCTTTATTCCGCTCATATTTGGCATTTCATGCATCATTGTGGACACTGATATTTATGTTAAGAATCAGAATTTCTCAACATATTAACTAGAAATTAATTAGAATTTACAATTAGAAAATGTGAAGTTTCTTCAAATCTATCCAGACACTTTTATAAAATGAGATCTCAATACTGATACCATATGTTACTACTCTACATAGAATTATCATCCTGATGTCAACTTTTTTCAAATTTCTGTTTATAGGATCAGTCACTATTTATAATACCAAACTCTCTCTAATAACTAAAACACGGAAGAAATCAGAAAGAACATTGGATTTTGTCCACAATTCAATATTCAATTTGACTTTCTCACTGAGAGAAAACCTCAGACTGTTTGCTAAAATAAGAGGGATTCAGCCAAAGGAAGTAGAACAAGAGGTAGATGAACATGGTGGGATCAATGGCTTCAGAAATAATTAATTTACTCCTGACTGTATTCCTGTTCAGCTATTACTTTTCTCTTCTGTAAATAAAACTTAAGCAATGAAGTTTTAGAATACATTTCTTCCCATTTATTAGAAAGCAAGAACTGCTTAACATAAAGCATTTTGTCTTTTTAACATAATATTTCTTCTTGGATAGGTAAAAAGAATTATAATGGAGTTAGACATACAAAACATTCAAAATGTCATTGCTAAAGATTTAAGTGGTGAACAGAAGAGAAAGTTGACATTTGGGATAGCGCTTTTAGGAGATCCTCAGGTACGAGAAAAAATATTTTTAAGTTTAATTTGGATTAAAGGATATGAAACTATTGTTAAAGTTCAAACTCTTCCTTAATGAGTAAATGTAAGAGAAAATTTATAATACAGTACCATACCAGTTTGTGAGGGATCCAGTGGGAGACTGTATTTGAATTTAGAAATCATACTGGTTTCTATGGTACTTTGTGAAGATCCTCATCTTGAAGTAGAAGATGTTGTCATACGTTTCCTCCTCTACAGGTTTTGCTACTGGATGAACCAACTGCTGGATTAGATCCCTTCTCGAGGCACCAAGTGTGGAACCTCCTGAAGGAGCAAAAATCAGACCATGTGATCCTCTTCAGTACCCAGTTCGTGGATGAGGCTGATACATTGGCCGGTGATTCTTAGCTTCTTTATTTTGATGAGTTATTTAAAGATTTAGTGTGAGAGAGAGTCTCTATAGCCTGTTTTTAATAGAAGAGACTCTTGTTTGCCACCCGTTTGAGTGACGATGTGCTGCAGATGCACTTTGCCTCAGAAGGAATTCTGATTTTCCAGTGAGTTCTTAGGCTCATGTTTTATGTATCTTCTTCTCATCCATAGTTTTCTTGACTGTCTACTTAATAACAAGTATATTTTTTGAACTTTGAAAAACCCATATCACTTTTCATGTACAGTTTTTCCTCGGGGGAAAAAAAATTCTAGGTGAGAAAAATTCTTTTTACACACCTTTTTTGCCTTCTTAGAAGGATCCTTTGTTCACTGAGTGAGGTGTTGTGTTTGAAGATGCAAGAATGGAGAATTAGAAATAGAGCCAAATGCTTTTAGATGGGAAATGGTGGGACAGGGGGAAGACTAGAGTGAATGAGTCTGTGTGGAGGAAGAGTTAAAAAAAAATGAAGCTGAAAAGAGATTCAGTGGACAGAGAGAAATTTTTGCTGTGTGATGTGTAGTGTAACACTTTTCCCCATGAAATCTGAGGTAAAATAAACATTACTTATTGTAGCAGTTGTCTGTTGCCACACTAATGCTGTGTAAGAAACCAACCAAAGCTCAGTATCTTAAATCAATAAGCATTTATTTAGTACATGAGTCAGAGGATTGATAACTTAGGATGGGCTCACCTGAGGAGATTTTTGGGTCTTGACAGGGTTCACTGACATGTCTAGGGGTTAGCTGACCATTGGCTGGGGTGACTTAGGTGACATAGTCCTGCTCTAGGTGTATTTCAGCCTCTGGCTGGCTGAAAGCCCAGGTATGTTTTCATGGCAGTGGCTGAGTCTAAAGAGAACAACCTCCAATGCATAAGCCCATTTTAAGCCTTTGCTTGCCCGGTGTCGGCTCACCTGCCACTGGGCTTGACCATCTGACTTCTTTTGGTGGGAGAGCACTGCAAAGTTCCACAGCAAAGTGTATAGATAACAGGAGAGATGGTAAGTTTTGTGGCAGTGGGCTAGCTGTGGGGGAAGTAGTGGACTCCCGTGTCCTGCTTCAAGGGAGGCACGGGGATGAGAGATGATGTCGCACCCAGGGGCTCAATTACATCAAGGCTGCATTTAAATCGAAAAATGTATGCAGTATTCTGGTATCCAGAGTAGAGAATATACTCTTCTAAGGAATTACTCTTCACATAATTTATTCTTTCTTTCTTTCTTTCTACCCAGATAGATAAGTGCTTCTGTCTAATGGGAAGTTGAAATGTTCAGGATCATCACTGTTTCTGAAGTGAAAATGGGGAACTGGATATCATCTAAGGTAATGCTCGTTAATGTATTCTGGGAAGGTATTTTTAAATGAGTGTATCAATACTAGGGTAATATTTCACCTGAGTCTTTAGAAATACAAAAAAGTCAACTTAATTATTGGTGGAGATTGATTTATAATAAATAATGCAAAATATTCCCCTCATTAATATTTTCCTTATCAAATATCTGTTGGTTTTAAGCATGTAAATTTCTAAAAGCATATGTAACTTTCAATACAACATTTTTTGGGCTGATATGTATGTAGGAAAAAAATGTATTTGTTTATTTTTATCTTCCCAAAAAGCAATTGATCCCTTTTAACAAAATGATCTAAAAGGCCAAGAAGTCTGCAGTTGCCTTCCGAATCCACTTGATAGAGTGTTAGAAGGGCATGTGACCTTTGGGAAAGCACCTCTTGTCAACAAAGAGGATCTGCAACCAGGAATTACTGGCATTAAGAGAGGCCATTTTACTGCATAGAAAGCAACTGTTTATTAACAACCATATTAACTTTTCAGTTATCTAGAAGAGCAATCTTTCAAACATTTTACAGGTTATCATGATTTTAGATATAAGATGTAAATATATATATTTACATTATATACATATTTAAATATATACAGATATATATATATCTCCTTGAGTGGCTCAAACAGTTTGCACTCAACTACTAACCTAAGGGTTGGTGGTTCAAACCCATCAAGCAACACTACAGAAGAAAGGCCTGGCAATCTGCTTCCGTAAAGATTACAGCCAAAAAACCCTATGGAGCAGTTGTACTCTGTAACACATGGGGTTGTTGGTCAGAATTGACTTGATGGCAGCAGGTTTGGAGTGTGTGTGTGTGTGTGTGTGTGTATACGTATGTGTGTGTATATATAGGTATACACGCATGCATGTCCACACACATATCCACACACATATGTGAAGCACTGGTGGTTCAGTGTAAAATTCTCACCTTCCATGCCAGTGATGACCCAGGTTCAATTCCTGGCCAATGTACCTCATGTGCAGCCACCATCTGTCTGCAAGTGGAGGTTTATGTGTTGCTATGATGCTGAAAAGCTTTCAGTGGAGCTTCCAGAGTGGGTAGCAATCTACTTCCAAATAGCAGTCAATGAAAATCTTATGGTTCACAATAGAACATTATATGATCCACAAACAACCATGGGGATGGCGCAGGGATGGGCAGTGTTTCATTCAATTGTACATGTAGTTGCCCAAGCAAATAAATATACTACACACACACACACACAAAAAAAAATGTTTACTGTGCCATATTTTTCCCTGTTTAAAATAATGTGATATGGACTTCAATCAGTACTTAAGAAGGAACATCTGATTTGTAGGAACTGATTACTGAGGTTAAGCAAGATGTTTCTGTAACATATACAGACTATTTAGTCAAAAACAATCTTTTTCATGAGTGGTGATGTTGCCAAATTCAAAAGACTTATCGTCTTCTGAAACATTAGTTTACACAGGAATGAAATGTGTGATCCACAAAGAAACACATCTCTCATTAAACAACACATCCCTGAAGCCAAATTGAGAGCTGAGAGTGAAGAGAAGCTTGTGTATACTTTACCCTTGGAAAGGACAAACACATTTTCAGGTAATTTACTGTATGGTCATATTAAATGCAACTTTGGGTCATGATTATGCTTATGGAAATGCAACTGAGGGCCCATGATCATGCTCACACAGAATCCCACTGAGGGCCCATGATCATGATCACATAGAACCCCACTGAGGGCCCAGGATCATGCTCACACAGAATCCCACTGAGGGCCCATGATCATGCTTGTACAGAATCCCACTGAGGGCCCAGGATCATGCTCACACAGAATGCCACTGAGGGCCAAGGATCATGCTCACATAGAATCCCACTGCGGGCCCATGATCATCCTCACACAAAATCCGACTGAGGGCCTATGATTGTGCTCATAAAGAATCCCAATGAGGGCCCAGTATCATGCTCACACAGAATACCACTGAGCGCCCAGGATCGTGCTCACATAGAATACCACTGAGGGCCCATGATCATGCTCACATAGAATCCCACTGACGGCCCATGATCATTCTCACACAGACTACCACTGAGGGCCTATGATCATGCTCGTACAGAATACCATTGAGGGCCCAGGATCATGCTCACACAGAATACCACTGAGGGCCCAGGATCATGCTCACACAGAATCCCACTGAGGGCCCAGGATCATGCTCGTACAGAATACCACTGAGGGCCCAGAATCATGCTCACACAGAATACCACTGAGGGCCTATGATCATGCTCACACAGAATCCCACTGAGGGCCCAGGATCATGCTCACACAGAATACCACTGAAGGCCCAGGACCATGGTTACACAGAATACCACTCCTGGCCCATGATTATGCTCACACAGAATGCCATTCAGAGTAAATGATTATGCTGATTGCATTTTCTGTTTTTTTATGAGTTGAATTTTAAATCTGATATGAAAGAAAATATTTAAGTAATTTTCCTTCCATTATTATGACAGCCCTAATATGAAAATATTTTAGATTTAGCAATTCTGAGTCATCTTTATAAAATAGTATTTTAAATATACTCATTAGTAATTTTAGTTGTATCAATTTGTTATCTGCTTTTTAGATCTTTATAGTGACCTTGATAAGTGTTCTGACCAGGGCATAATGAATTATGATGTTTCCATGACAACTCTGAATGAAGTATTCTTGAACCTAGAAGGAAAGTCAACAGTTTATGAGCCGGGTATAAAAATTTATGTCTAACAGGAAATTTTAAAATAGAAAAAAAATGACCATATGTGAATTCATATCTGTAAATTTTTATGTGGAATTCTTCCTAGAATATATATTAGATGCAAAATAGGGTTGTCTACTTTTTAAAGTATCATAATTATTTTATATCTAATATAATCTGGCTTGGTGCTAGGCAAATTACTTTATGAGATTTGTCCACTTCCCACATCAGTGATGGTCACATCTCCTTGTGACGGCCACTCCTTCCTTATTATCAATAGCTCTCTGCTAGTGTCATGAATTCTGGGTTTGCCTCCTACATGCTATTCCCTGTTAAAATGTGCTCAGTCTTAACTAATGAACTAATTCTTATTGATGTATTAATAGCAGATAATGAAATAAGATCTTGTCTTTATTTAGTTTACTGTGTAATCATAGCAATGAGAAGATTTAGGAGCCTACTATGTGCCAACCACTGTGCACAGTTCTTGGATTATGTTGTTCTCAATTTCCATAGTAACTTCATGATGAGGTGAGAAAACAGAGATGTAGAGAAATTGAGTAATTAGCCAGTGTGGTGTATGTGGGATTCCAACAGAAGATCTTTTTATGGACTTTCCATTATCTAAAACCATCAAGTCTCAATCCAGTCACTAGAATGTCAGGCATAGTGATAAACTATTCCTGTGAAGGGGATTCCAGATGACAGAGAAGACTTTCTAAAAACCCAGTGACATAAATTTATCCTTATGCTTTTGCATAAAACTTGCTCTGCAAAAAAAAGAAAATCTCTTAGCGAAGAGCTGCCGCTGTTGGTTTGAAAGCATGAATGCTTCCCAAGAAGCCTAGACAGTGCCCTAAAATTAATTTACTCACTCATTGGGATTGAATCCATTATACTGTTTGATGGAAGGTTTTTGAATACAAGATTCTGGATATCAGTGTCTTAAGTTGTTAGAAACGTTGCCCAAATGTTCTAACATTGTTTTTAATGTTTCTAAGAAGAAAATGTAAATAGCATAGCTTATTATAATGGTTTATTATATGATTATAGATTTTGGCATTTGGAAACGAGAAAAAATAGACCTCACAAGAGATACTGAAAATAAGTCTGAAATGCAACAGGCTCTTTCTTCTCTTCCTGGAATGAGAAAAGCCATCAGTGATGGAACTCTCTGGAGAAGATAGGTCTGTGCCATGGCAAGACTTCGCTCCTTAAAATTAAGGCATCAGAGGAAATGTCTTTTGTTTTTGTGAGTATCAAGCTACTTTAAATCTGTTTAATCAGTATACTCAAAAAAGGTTCAACTCTGAAGAAAATTATTCATTTCTTGATTTATTTAACAAAAATTCTGAATGCCTTAACCAATCCTATAGTGGTCCGCAAAACTGACCAGGTCTTTGAACTTACTCTCTAGTAGGGGAGAAAGTGCCAATTAAATAATCACACAATAAATATGTTATTTATTCACTACGTCACAAATCTTTAATGAAACCTGCTATGTGCTAGGCACTATTCTATGTGCTTTGATTACCAGTGAACAGAAAAGTCACAGATCCCTGCCCTCATGGTGTATATCTTCTGATTGAAGGAAAAGACAAAAAGAAGAAGAAATATAAAAACTTAGTAAATTCTATAGCAGGTTATACTAAATAGAGTAAGAGGATGAGGAAGGATGCTGGACTTTGAGGGTGCATTACAATTTTAAATAGGGTGGTCAAAGTTGGCCTCATCGAGATGGTCACATTTGAGCAAAGATTAGAAGGAGGTGAGGAGATTAGCAAATAAGAGGGGGAGAATAACCATTCAGAACTGAAAGTACCCATTGGATTTGGCAATGGGGAAGTCATTAAAGATTTTATCAAGAATAGACAACTCTTTTTTTTTTTCATTCAACAGATATTTAATATGCTCCTTTTATTTCTTTAACATTAATAAGATTTATGACATCGTTATTTTGTGCCAAGCACTGTGTTAAGTATTTTTTTTTTATATATTTTATTGTACTTCAGGTGAAGGCTTACAGAACAAATAGTTTCTCATAAAACAGTAGTACACATGTTGTTTTATGACAT